TAACCCAACACAACCTAAATTAAGCCTCAATCCATGGCTAGAGAAATCGTCAGACATAACTTGTTTTAAACCTAATCTACAGTATAACTCAATTTACCGAATACAGTATCAACATAGGACTGGATATGATACAGGTATTAATCATATCTGAGGTTCTTCTACCTTAATGACGTCGAATTTACAACTAATGCTGTTAATTTCTTGCCACAGCAACGTAATAAGGAAAATTATCATCATCTAACACAGGTTTTTCCACTATATTTAGTTCATATCATCTTCTTCTATTTGATTAAATGAAGACGGTCCTGATTTATACGTAGTAAAAGATTTTTTCGGGGGAAAAAGGAAAACGGGCTAAAGATATTCCTGAGTAATCCAGCAGTTTTCTCATTAGAAAAAGTTGTAAAACTTCATCATCCAGATTCATCATGGAAAAAATAATGCTTCCTCAAGAAAAAATTACGGTACTTTCTTTCATAAGAAAAACATTCAGATGCACCGACGCCATTTTACCTTCAACAGCGAGTCCATGTACTGTAAATTGAACTGTCCTTCGAAACTCGATTTCGAAAAGCTTCAAAGATATAATCATTTGAAAAAACTTACGATACAAATTTTTGAAAGCCTTATCGGCGTTCTCCCCAACCACGTCGATTTTCTTGAAAATAGGGAACTCGGCATGGAAAGTGTTGACGACAAAGTTTACAATTTCCTGCATGCTTCCGGGTTCCTGTTCACCGAACTGGTTGCATGGAAACGCAAGGACCCGAAAGTACCCGTCGTGTCCTAAAATCCCGTCCAGTTTCGTCAAGGCTTCGTAGTGCTTTTCCGTGAACCCGCAGTAACTTGCTACGTTAACGACTAACGTAACCTGGAAATGAGTAAATGAAATTATTCTTCAAGTAGCACGTAAATTCAAGTGAACGCCACTGCATTCAAGGAATTCAATTGTTTTGCGTCTTAATTCCACTCCATGAATGCGAACTTACTTTGCCTCTGAACTGCTCCAATGCGAAATCTTGATCTTGAGCATCTTTTACAGTGAAGCTGTAGAAATCCTTGTTTTCGTCCCCTGTCACACTGGCAATCAGCACGCCGAAAACCAACCAAGTCAACATTTCGCACGAAGAAGAAATAAAAGTGCAACGGGGAAAAACCTAGAGGGAGAAAGAGCA